TAATCGAGATAAATATTTTAAAATTAATAAACTTATTTCCTAAGATGCTAAAGCTTTAATAACCAAATTTGCTGAAGGCAAATCTTATAAAAACCCTTAGCGACAGTGTAACGAAGTGGATGAATGAAATGAACTCCCTAAATATCGATTTTGTTAAAAACTACTCAAAGGAAATTTTACATCCGGGATGGCACAAAAGGGCTTTATAGGAGCCAGCATCAAAATTGGACGTAGAGGGGACCCACACATAGATGAAAACACATATCTTGGGACCTTCGCGACCGGTTTAAACTAAATTCGGTATATGACACGTGACAGGAAGCAATTAATATAACGAAATGAAACTTGCAATATCCGCCATTTTATTGGTGATGAACCTTAATGAACCTCAGGGAACATATTAATAGTATGTAGTATTGGCAAAAATAGACCATATCGGGTCAATACTATCCTCCACTCCGATATACTACATATCCGTTTCCCGGTAAAATGTAAAATAATAAGAAAGTAATAAAAACATTCTTAAAGTTTTAAATTTTAAAGCTTAACACGGCAACATACCATACCAGATTTGCGGTATTCGGACGTATAAGTTGTAAGTTAGTTATAGAAGTATTGTCGGCAACCCGTACCAAGTGATCAATAAGTAGTAGAATATTTGGGGTCAACCCGTATCTAATGTTAAGTTTGTGAGTTTGTATTGTAGAAAATTTAGAATTGGCTACTTGTAGATTTATACAATATACTCATCTCGTCAGTTTACCCAGGAAGACATATTTAATTATGTTATGGCTTACACGATATGTTTTAACAACTTGAAAGAATATTTAATACTCCGCTGCTCCTTACAATCATTATAGTATGTAGGAAATGGGAGTTGGGGTAGTATCGACCCGATTTTATCTATTAACTATCATGCCAAATACTAAAAACATGTTCCTGGGTTTCATTATGGTAGCTCACATACAATAACCAATCATATGGAGTAATGGAATTTTTCAAAAATTCTGATAATAGTTATTTGGCGCTAGACCAAGTTTTAGACCAATATTATATTTTATATTTTAGGAACAAAGATGCACTGTTATGAGTAAAACACGCTCTATAATATTCATTGAAATACATATCTCATATATTGACCGATACATACAGTATAAAGTCACAAGGAAGTTTTGATACACAAAGTTACTATTACTTTAACCTTTTTAGAGGGTGGGTATATCTTAATTAAGTGCTTAGTTAAAGCACTTTATAAGTTAGATAAGGTTAATAGTATTTTGTGGGCGAACTTTTGTTTTTTTACTAAGGAACGCGTTTACCAAGTTACATCAAGGTATTTCACTTTTTACTCAAATTACAGCTTGCATAGGCGGACGGATGGACAGACAGACTGTCACCCGGATTTCAATTTTTCTCATCATCCTCTATGTGTGTATATATGTATAACCATATACATATCTACCGCGATTAGTTTTAGGTAATACATACAAGCATTATGTGAACAAAACTATTATACTCTGTGGAAACATATTGCAAGAGTATAAAAAAGAATTATTCACGCCCATCGTCCAATTTTGGCACCGTCTCCTACAAAGCCCTTTAACAGTGGAATTATTTGAAGTAGTCAGATTAATTTTCGTAAATGGCTCACCGCAGAGAATTATTTTTACAACTTGTCACTCTACAAAACAACAAATACATAATTAAACTAAAAAGATATTTGAAACACAGTAAGGCAAATCAGAATCTTATGCATATGACTTTGCAAAATTATGCAATTGCAAATATTTGCCATCAACCCTTGCAAAAACCATTAATTCAAAGCATATCGAAAAAAACTTTTAGGGAAAAATAAATGACGCTTTATTTGATGAAGCTGCTAAAGAAATTATGAACATTGAAGATAAGAAATATTTTTATGCGGCACATAGCAAAAATTTCACTTTTACTTCTTCCTGCAAGTAATCCGAAATACTCTGGATTTCTTTCTCGCTCCACTTTTCATTCGGCTTTTCGTGTTTTATCCTTATTTTATTCAAACCGGTATTACCGTTTTTTTTACTGCTGCGAAAAGGTGAAATTTGTCCATTCATCTCCTTCAATCCCCTCCCGCTGCAATACACTTATGCCAACGAATTTTCCAGCTACCATAGCACTTGGACACAGTCAGAGCCTTTTTCGATCCAGCTTTTACATCCTCAATCCAGTCAAAACGATGCCATTGGAGTGGTCATGCGAATTTGCTGATTGCGGCACGATATGAGTTGAAAAGTGGTGAAATTATCACGAATAATATACGAGATGGTGCAATCGCAATCCTTTGTTCAACAAATTCAGAAACATTAAAAATCGAAGAATTCCAATACTAATAAATATTGTGACGTGAAAACACAGTAATACCAACTTAAAGAAAAAAATTTACCGATTCGAAAAACACGAGAAGTATAAATTAAAAATTCTCTTTATAATTTGATCCCTTTAGTATATTTATAATAATAAATATATTAACAAATATGTACCATTTTGGTCGACCACTTTTTGCTATTTTCCCGCTAGAGACATTTTTCCATCAGTGTAAATCGAAATTTCCAGAACGGAAGCGAGCGAACCATTAATGTGCTATACGAACTGAACCACCATCGTCTCCGTAAACTTCTCATATTTCATTGCTGGCTTGCGTGGCAGTCTTCTCTTTTTTATACAAAAATTTCAAAATATATCGAATTTCTTCACTAATTTTTGAACAGCTGACACTTTTTTTTAACTTCCCCGAACTTAATTTYTTTTTTTTGGTTAAATGAAGCTTAACTGGAGATATACGACTGCAACATCTATTGACTATTGAGACGACTTTTTCGATTACCCAATATTTTAATTCAAATAAATTACCTTGGCGGAGGGGTAAAAAATCCGAATTTATGCATAAATGGAGTATGTGCGGATAGGGGAGCTCCTCCAGAAAAGKAATATTCAAAAATTATATAGAAATAATTTATATTTTTTTAAATATTCACGATTAAAAGTTAAAAAATTTTCACTAATAACATATGGTATTTCTCTATGTTTCACCAAATTTTTTCACGTTTTCACTCTGCATATTTAAATATACACTCTAAACATTGCAATAAGTTCACATTTCACATATATTTTGTTATATTTTACCTAAATTTATTCATTTAAAAATGACTTAGCACACCAGTCGTTGAAAAGGTTAGATTGTTTACTATTATGAGGAAAACCAGCGTTGCCACATCTTAAACAGCAAATATGTAGGATTTTTAATGACTCTTCTTTGTTTGAATTTTCGCATGATTCTTTTTTTTTATTAACTATAATAAAATATACTTTCCTACATTTTTCAAGTTATAATTGAGTTGTGATCACTTTTCCATCTACATATGTATATGTATAATAATATTTAATAAACACAAATAAGTAAAAATCTATGATAACATTATAAAATTTAAAATATATCGGGGAGAACGCGGTATTTTTGCGTAGTATTCTTTTCTGCGTTAGCGGCCTTCGGCCGCGCTGTAAAAAAATAACCCTGGTCTAGCGAAGACCCGGTGTGACTGAAGTACTTTCGAGTACTACTCCTTTCCTAAAAAAATAACCCGAGGTGACTGAAGTACTTTCGCATAGTTTCTGCATCAAAAATAAAAACATATTTTGAGTTTTGGTTATTAAGTGGTTAAAGTGGTTATATTTTTTGGTTATCATGGACTCATATTGAAATTTGAGTTTTAAATTAAATTAAGAATATGAATGGACAAAGCAATTTTTGTGAAAAAAGGAATTTCATAGAATTTCCTTATTATCACATGCAGCGCTCCATTTCGTCTTAATTTTTAGCACACAAATGATGTTCACTACGAGTGTAAAATGTAATTTTTAAACTAAAGATTTCTTAGGTACAAAATCTGCTAAACTTGATTTTTGTTAGTCCTTTGGCGTTAGGATAAAAGATAAAAGAGATATCACAAAAGTAAATGAATAAATCCGTTAACCTTACAAAGTGTATTTCGTCAAGAAACGTATGTTATAACTCTGTAATGAGCAAAAAGGCTACGGCTTATTATACAATGAGCGAATTGCTTTGAAATGAAAAAGATATATTGTATTAAAATATTTAATAACTCGAGTATATCTAATATTGTTTACTCTGTTTTGATGACAACAAAGCTTTGACTTCATCAGAAACAAAGCTTATTACAAATATTGATAGCATAATTCTCCTTAAATGCATTATGATAATTATCCTGATAACGAATTTTGAAATAGTATATATACGTTTTATACGTAAAATATGAAAGTACTAATAAGTGTAAAATGTGGATTTATTTAAAAGTTTATAGTTTAATTTAATTTATTTTGAATGAAAAATGTGAGTAAAGTGTGTTTAATGTGGTGAAGTAGCTTCTTGAAATGTTCAAATTTTGGGAATTTTTGAACTTCAAAGTCGAATATCTCGCAAACTAAGCGTTTGCGGTACCTATAACCTTCAAATCGCGGCGCCAAAGAAATCGGAATTGTGACTGTTTGCCTATGATCACTCTGTGAAAATAGAGAAAATCAGTCATTGTGCAAAACTCAGATTAATTAATGTTATTGCTAATATTGAGAACTATTCACATTTTTATGTGCAACTATTCCGAACAGAGTTGGTTTCACTTTCACACTGCTACACTACATTGTTTATACACATAGGTATAATAACTATCGCCACAACAATAAATACAACTGAGATATGAAAAAACAATACTTTTAAGTAATTAACACATTATAGAATCTAGTTAGTGATTTTTAGAAAATTAGTTAGTTAGAAATTTTATATCTACACATATATAGATGTGTTTACTTATAAGGTCGGTAAATTTTCAATGAAAATTATGTGCCTGTGTGTATGTATAATCAGTAATACGTTTATTTTGGGAACAATAAACTAAACGGTGCTTTTTAGAATTCTGCGAACTTATTAATTATACTTTTTTACTTACCTCAATACTGAGAACACCATTTTCCGTACTCATTATGACTTGATTTGCTTAATATTGATTTATAATAATTTCATTAGATTTTTTAAAAGTTCGTATTATACGTTATTTCCAACTTAGGAATACACAAACACACAATAAAATTTACATATGTATTAGGTGCTCTTAAAATCCGTAATCAATACACATAAAGCCAGCCTTTGAAAATTTAAAAAAAATATTTACAAATTTTACATTGAATTAAAGTATCTCTCACTTGGAGTTGTGCATTTGTTGGCGTTCAGAACGGAACTGTTTAAAAGCCTTCTCTTACAATTGTCTTCAAAGCACTGTTTAAATTTGCAACAAGCAAGAGCGTCAATCTTTCGACTAACACACCAATATTGCCGTGATAATGAAAAAATAACAATAAGGAAACTCCCAGAGAAGAAACAAATATTACCTGTGTTTCAATTTCTTAATAAAATTGTATGCGCTTAACAATCATATAAACAAACAAATTAAATATGAACTTTTATATAGAAAATAAGAAAAAAACGTTAACTTCGGCTGCACCGAAGTTAATATTTGTATGCTATAGTAATCCGATCTGAACAACTTTTTAGGAGATTAACTGATTACTTTAAGCAGTAATCCATGTTAAATTTCGTGAAGATACCACGACAAATGCGAAAGTTTTCCATATAAGCCCTTGATTCCGATCGTTCGGTTTGTATGGCAGCTTTATGCTATAGTGAGACAATCTGAAAAATTTCTTCGGATATTACATTATTTCTATGAACAATAACTCATACCAAATTTCGTAAATATATCTTGTCAAATGTAAAAGTTTTACATACCAGCACTAGATTCCGATCGTTCAGTTTGTATAGCAGCTATATGCTATAGTAAGCCGATCTGAACAATTTCCTCGTATTTTACATCATTATCTTAGATAATAACCTGTGCTAGCTTTTGTGAAAATACATTGTCAAATGTGAAAGTTTTCCATACAAGAATTTGATTTCGATCGTTCAGTTTGTATGGCAGCTATATGTTATAGTGGTCCGATATCGGCAGTTCCGACAAAGGTGCAGCTTCTTGAAGAGGAAATTAGACTTGCATAACTTCTAAACGTTATCTTAAAAACTGAGGGACTAGTTCGTATATAGTATATACAGACGGACAGACAGACAGACAGACAGACGGACAAACGGAGATGGCTCAACATACTGATCATTTATAACATATTATATATGTATACTTTATAGGGTCTCCGACGCTTCCTTCTGGGTGTTACAAACATTGTAGCAAACTTAATATACCTTGTTCAGGGTATAAATTTGGAAGACGTAAATCAATAAATGTATAAATAAATGCATACGTACATATGTAAGAACATATGAATAAATAAAGTACCTTAGGTATTTAGTATTTACTTATGAATATACGTATGTAGGTGAAAATAATATTTAAGAAAGTAAAAACGGGTTTGTTCTGATGGTACAGATATCAATTGCTCTTATATTGTATGTACATATGTATATTTAAGTTCACATTGTGAATCATATCAACATATATATGTACATATGTATCTTGGGCATCAGTGTGTTTTGTTATGTTTATTAAAAACATTAGTCTGACGAGATCAGTTTCTCACTTGATTTTTGTTAGTCCTTTGGCGTTAGGATAAAAGATAAAAGAGATATCACAAAAGYAAATGAATAAATCCGTTAACCTTACAAAGTGTATTTCGTCAAGAAACGTATGTTATAACTCTGTAATGAGCAAAAAGGCTACGGCTTATTATACAATGAGCGAATTGCTTTGAAATGAAAAAGATATATTGTATTAAAATATTTAATAACTCGAGTATATCTAATATTGTTTACTCTGTTTTGATGACAACAAAGCTTTGACTTCATCAGAAACAAAGCTTATTACAAATATTGATAGCATAATTCTCCTTAAATGCATTATGATAATTATCCTGATAACGAATTTTGAAATAGTATATATACGTTTTATACGTAAAATATGAAAGTACTAATCTATAACATTAACTAATTACACTATTTTACAGTCATTTTGCGACTGTGATGGTAGAGGATAGCTGTAGTCAAGGTAGATCTCTTAGTAAACCAGTTGTAAATTTTCTTTCAGATTTGTTTAGTAGTGTTTATTAGTTAATAATGTGAAAATAAGTAAGGAAAACTAAGTTCTGAAGTAACCGAACACTTTATACTCTTGAAATAGTCAAAGATGAAAATCAGAGGTATTCGCAAAATGTTATTTAAAAAATTTTTAATATTGGTTATTCGGCGAAATTATAAATGGATAATTTCATATTTAATGTACCATATAACATGGCTATAGGTCATATAACCATTTAATTTTTCCATATTTATCATATTAGTGGCGAGGGAGGTAAGTAATAGGTCCGAATTTCTTCCGCCGCGACTGTACTTCGGAGAGTGCGCGCACTAACTTGATTCGGTGGAGGGCGTTCCTAGCTAACGAACCGGCTGGTCAGTTGTCTATGAGCACCTGTAGAGTCAGGACAACCATTTTCACGCGACGTGTTTCCGTGAGTGGCGCAAGCCGAAAACACAGCGTTCGATAGAGCAATTAACTTCTGTGTGAAACTTGGTAAATCTGCGACATAGATTTCGAGGCTGACATTGTTGTTAGTGTTAATACTGGTATGAAATTATCTACGACTTCAAAGTCATGACCGTTAACGTGGGAGCCAAGTCGGGAGTGCGACAACTGTTTATTTGATGATATTAGATATTTCTTCTTGGCCTCGTTTACCACCAGACAGAGCACACGTAATTCGAATCGTTGGACATGCTTTTGTCCAACCATATTCTACAAATTGAAACAAATAACTTGAGAACGATTGAATGAAATGTTTAAAAATTTTTTCCAGCGCACAACAAATGTAAAAGATTTTACTGCCGCTGTGTGATAGTCAAGAAAGTATCGGGAATTTATAAATAAAACGAAAATTTTTCAATCATCATCCAAACTTATTTTATCGCCTTCAAAGTAACATCCTTTTGAAGCGATACACATGTGTCAACGCTTCTTCCAATCGTCAAAACAGTTTTTATAGACACTTTCCGGGATGGCCTTCAGCTCTCGCGTGTAATTTGATTGAATAAGAAAAGTCACAGGAGGCCATATCAGATGAATACGGTACTTACTTAATCGTATTTGTTGAGTGTTTGGTAAAAATTTAACACAAATACGTTAAAAAAATTTGTAAAATTCGACAAGCACTACTGAGGGCGATTGACATAAACAGCTGCTGTAAACACACTGGTTGACGCGCTAAGTTTTGGCATCATAATTAAGGACGGTTGTATCAATCTAGGAAAAAAAATGTACCTGTCTTCCTCTTAAATGGAAGATGCGAGGATAAATTCAAGAATTTTCGATACTTTTTTGACAAGGTATATATACATATATATATATATATATATATTAGAGTAAATTTTTTTTTTTTGTTTGGTACACTGGCTCCTAGACACCTCTAAGGATTCTTATTATCTGATAGAAAAGTTTATATCGCGCTTCCAACCACTTCAAAAAATATTTTGTTCCTTAGATTTTGTAGGAAATTGAAACTCTACAAGAAAGGAACGATACGATTTTTTCGTAAACCCAACCGTTTAAAAGATATTAACGGAAAATTTTTTATTTCTTATGAATTTTATAACTCAATGAAAAAAATCATTACGCATGATGAAACTCATAGTTTTGTAGGAAATTTACTGCTCTATAAAAATGGTCTCATATGATTCTTCGATTAAGTTAAGCGTTTAAGAGATATTCGTCGTCAAACATAAATGCATCAAACATCAGTGGGTCAAACTAAAAATTATTTTTTTTCGGTTGGTACTCTGAAAAATAGGTTCCTAGACACCACTAAGAAAACTTCTCCAAAAACCTAAGAGTTTCATTCATTGAGTTATAATTTTTTTTTTCAATCACCCTAATATATACATATATAGAACATTTATTTACATGAATATATTACCGCCAAAAGATTGTGTTCAAGTTGTCAGAGAAATTTCCAAATCAGCGTTGACACAAAATTTATGTAGATGTTCATGAGCACCTACATAAATGTAATATATTACGAACTAAAAGACTTTAATCAAATCATAAACTCTTTGTCGTGCGTGTGATACAACTCCGTGTCAATATTTAAGCATAAAATGATTTATTACTTTATTGCTATATGCACATAATACTAACCTATGAATTTATCCGAAATTTATAAAAAAAAAACAAGTAAAGTTTAACCAAAATGTTGATCATTTTGGTCTTTCAAAATTAGATTTTTGATCAGAGCAGAAAACTGATAGGTAGATAGGTAGGTATTCATTTTTCCTTGATAGTGTTTTTACGTTGCAGGTCCCAAACCCAGCGCTCAACCCTGTAGAGGAGATGTTTCTCCTTTTCACTTTAGCTCGCCTACAAACCGATGTTTTTTGAGAAAACCGGGTATTGAGATAAGCTGATGGAACTGATTGAACTGAGCGAATAATTTTATAACCCATTTACCCATTGATACTATTTGTATCAACACATTCATGCATACATAGTATAGTGAGAGTCATAAAACAAAAAACACTGGAACGACAGTTTTAATTTAATAAGGCTAGAGAGTAAAAAATAGTTTACCGAAATCAAATTTGCTCTCAAAAATGCCATTCTAAGGATACTATATACAAATATTTTAATCTGTCACAAAACTTCGTATCAAATGAATTTAAATTGATTCTGTTTATATCAATTGGAAAAACAATGTACATACGTACATGGTTAAGCTTTAAAATACTCTCATATTATTATTATACTGCCGAAACGCCTTAACCGAAAAGCCATAAAGTGCCATAACTAAAACAGCACTAAATAAATTCGCACAGCAGATCGCAGCAGCAAGAGGAACGTGTGGGCAAAAAAATTTTGAAAAATTGTTAATAAGTTAAATGTATATATCTCCTAAACCAGTAAAGCTAGAACAAGTAAATTTGCTTAACGCAAGTATTATAAGAAACCTACCGAAAGTGCAAAAATGCATTAAATCGGATTATAACCCTCTCACTACCCATACACTAACTACTAGCAAAAGCGAGATAACTAAATAAGCCAGAGATGTTGAAATTTACCTCAGAGATGGTATAAGAAGGCGTTATGGCACCCAGGGTAAAAATTGGACTATGGGCGTGGTATCGCCCACTTTTTTGTGAAAGCTCATATCTCGGGATCCGAATGACCGATTTCGACTAAAATTAATACTCGA